TAATAATATTAATAACTATGATTATGTTGACAATAATAATAAAAAAAGATGCGTTCATATGGCCGTTTACGATTTGTAGGTGTGTGTCCCCCATCCATTTGGAGCAGGAGAAGAAAGTAGTGGAACAGGCTGTGCAGGAGGAGGTCGATAAGCTGGTGGAGGAGTGTTCGTAGGCCGGCAGCGTCGCGGGCGTCCCAGGGTGCTAACTCGTGCTTGTCGCTTCGCTGCTCACTTCCTGTTATGCTCAGGTGGACACAGAGTCCGTGTGCTACACCGGCAGCAAGCTGAGCATACCCGGCGGCGCGCGCATGCGGCGGGAACTCATCCGCCCCATGTCGCGCAAGGACATCTTCTACACGGGCTCCGTGTGCAACCTGCCCGAGTACCAGAGCCAGAAGTCCCTCGCAGGCTACCGGCAGAGTGTGCTCTCGCTCTCCATGTACGGCCAGGGTGGCACGGGAGCCGTCGATGAGAAGCCTCCACGTGAGTACATGACCCAGGAAGGTCGCATCAGCTGTGCTTCCCTTAGTCTTGACTCTTCTAGCTGTGTTCCAGCCGACCTATGCCCGTGCCTGAGCCTCCCGGACTCGATGAGGCACGCGCTCGCGTCCATGATGGACTTCACTCTGCTCAAGGATCCCGTCTTCATGATGATTGGCGTGAGCAACCTCTTCGGCATGGCAGGACTGTACGTCCCGTTCGTGCACCTCGTCAACGCTGCAGATGATAAGCTGAACAAGGACTCAGTAAGAAAACGTTTAGTGTGAAATGTACCGGGTTTATCAGGGCGGACGCTGCAGTGTTGCAGAATTGCATACCCTCTTAGACCGCATGGTTGGATAGGCAAACCCGCGGCGTTCGTCGTCCACTCTGATACACACGGTACACGTGGGCGCAAAATGAAGACAGAGCTAACATATTGTTTATCTTCCAACTCAGGTCGTGGTGCCGAAAGAGACCATCTCGTTCCTCATTTCCATCATCGGCATTGTGAACACGGTGGGTCGAGTTGTGTGCGGCTGGATCGCGGACTTCCCTTCTGTAGACTCACTTCTGCTCAACAACCTGTGCCTCATCGTGGCCACACTGTCCGTCGCTGCCGTCCCACTGTGCACGACCTACTACTGCTACGTTGCGGTCGCCATCTTCTTTGGCCTCTCCATCTGTAAGTCTTGCACTGCACCCTCTTGGGCCGTGGCGAGGGGGCGCCTCTTCTAACCACACTTTGACTCTTATCGCCCTCTCTGCAGCCGGCTACATCTCCCTGACGTCCATCATCCTGGTGGACCTGCTGGGCTTGGACAAGCTGACCAACGCCTTTGGGCTGCTCATCCTGTTCCGCGGGGTGGCCGCCGCCGTGGGGTCGCCGCTGGCGGGGATGATGTACGACGTGACGGGCACCTACGACGTCCCCTTTTACATGGCGGCCGCGCTCTTCGCCCTCTCCACCGTCACGTCCTTCTTGGCGGCGCCGCTCAAGCGCTGGACGGCGCGCGAGGAGCTGCCGCCGCAACAGGACGCGCTCACGCCCATAGACGAGGACGAGGAAGAGGAGGAGGACGACGATGACGAAGAACAGCAGGGCATCCAGATCACCATTCCAGAGATCCGCGAGACGGCACCCTCGCCGCGCACGCCTAACCCGCCACAAGAGATCAAACAGATTGAATCGGTGCTTTGAGGAAGCCAGGCGCGCAGGGGCACCGAAGACACGGTTCACGAACCGGGAGGCCAGACGAGGAACTCGCGTCTGGCGTAGGCGTCTCTATGATGGACTGTCAGTGGACTTTGAACCATGTTTCGAGATGCCTTAGTGCGCCCCTTTAGACAGAGCTGTTGAAGTAATTTTTGTAAGTTCTCTCTAAGAAAATTAGATTCTCAGATAAAACTTACCATGCGCCTACCACAGCGGAGGTTTCGCGCCTTGTGGCACGTTTCCCCGGCTCCCGGCAAAATCTTACATTTCCTTGTCATCTCATTCGTTTCATGTCTCATGACTGCCCTAAACGCTTGCCTTCGGCCCAGGCTTTGGCTAGTGCTTTGTCAGCACCAGTCACAAAACCACTCGAGGAGCGAATTGTGTGAGAAGAATTAGATTATTTCTACTCAATGTAATATGTGTGAGTGTGTGTGTGTGTGTGCGGGGAAAAGGGGGGGGGGGGTATGCATGAGTCAGAGATGAGGGTTTCCAACCGACAACGCAGACTGAGCAGTGATCTCTGACGGACGCGACAGACCGCTTGGACAGTCTTTGGCTGGGCTACGCAGACCACAAGCAGGACAAAACGATAAGAAGAAAAAGTTCCCCTCCTCCCCTTTACCTACAAGTAGTCTGCGGAGCCCTTACAGAGATCCACCAAGCGGTCCTTCGCGTCAGAAAAAAGCTATCCCATTTTTAAACGGTCTGTCAGAAACGGGAGAAACGTTCATCTATGCGCGCGCGTGTTCATGTATAGGTATATGTAAGTGTACGTTGGGTATGTATACTACTACTACTACTGATAGGGAGATATGGGGCCTCCCGGGACGCAGGACACCGAGTCTGCATCATATATTTTATGACGTATTTAAGCTGTTATTTTAGTTGTGTAGGATAATTTGAGTGCTCGTGGCCCTTCCTCCTCTGACGTGTTCCTTTGTGAATGACTCTGTTTGATCGGTTACATAGAGAGATGCAGATGCAGTGTCCTGTTCTCTGGATGATCCCGGTAACGTTAAGAAGGGTATTTCTGTCATGGATAGTTTTGGATCGTTTTTGTTTTTTTCTGCTGTGGATACTTTGCCCATACTATGGTCCCTTATGAGACCCTTGAGCTTTGCTAGGTGCGGAGTGAACTTTACAAACTGCAGCAGGTTAGTTGATAAAAGTTCCGCTCATGAGGAAATGTATCATCTGTGTACAAATAAACAGACCCTTTCCAAGTGAGGTTGAGCTACTTTCCCAGATATGAAAGTTCTAATTAGTTTCCCAAGAACTGTCTCCTATGTGTCTCGTACTTGGGTTCATCATATTATGTTAAGTTGTGGAAATGTGTCTTTTTTTGTTGTTTTTTTAAGTTAATGCATTGTTGTGGTACTTTACTTAGCGTTACAAAGTCAAAGGAACTGCGGCAACAAGTATTCTCTTATGGCTGTGCAAAAAACTTTAAGCATCATCACCGATAGCTTTAAGTGTCAATTTAAAGAGTACTGGAGAGGTTTACCATAGTAATATTTCAACTGAATTGAGAAAAGAAAATGTGAGGAAAATATAACCAATCTATATACTGAAATACTTAAAAAAGACCAGATTAAAGCTAATGGGGCTTTGTTCGTAGAGACGAGAACTTTGATGCATTAGGTGGGTGGTGTACAAAGCAGTACCAGAGCCATTTATTATGCCTTGGCCTTTTGTTGAGTCATTTCTTTTGCTGAGAGTAAGAAAAAATAGATCTTTTCCTTCTTGGCACACATTCAGCATTTCCTTTGTCTTTACTTAAATGTCATTTTGTCAACATCGTTTTGTACTTATTTCAACTCATTTGTGTGTACAAAGTATGACGAGCTGTAACTTTAGAGTCTGTGCAATGAGCCTGTATGGCTTGACCTTCTATAACTTAATGATACTTTTATGTCAGTCAAACATCTCGAAAACGTTCGTGCCCTTGTGGTTGCAGCTTTAGTGTAAATATTTTTCCGTGTCCCTATGACAAGGGATCTGCTAAAACGTAAATCAGATACGCTTTAATGAGTACACCACTTATAGCTTGACTCCATCCATTATGCGTAAAATAAAATCATTTGTTCTTGTAATTCGTATGTTTTTCGGGGAATGCTTCGCTAGAGGTGGCGTAAGGTGGTGAGTCCTGGTGTGGGCGCGCGCCGAGCGACCCCTTTCCCGCGATTTCGGAGACTTGGTGTGCCACGCGACGAACTCTTATTATATATTTTTGTAACGACATTGTGTGCGTGTGTGTGTGTGTGCGTGTGTGAAAGAGAACGAGCGAGAGAGAGAGAGAAATTGTATGAGAGGATGAATGAGAGAGCGAGAACGACGAGGGTCTCCGAGTGGCGCACCGGACCCACCGGACTCCCCACACCTACCACGAGCTGTAGCAAGTGTTATACCTTCACAATTTCCTCGATTCTTTTTGTACTTTAAAATTCCTACGCCAACAGTGCTGCAACCACGGTATTGCAATAGCCGCTGTTATTTTTTTTTTTCCAAAATAAATATGATCGTGCAATACCGACTTCATTTTTACCAACCCATACTCATACAATAGGCAAACTCACAACACTTGAAACTCTGTTACAGCCGGCATCTCAACAAAGTTCAACAAAAATAACATATACCAGAGGTGGCTGATTACCCCCGTTCACTTCTGTACTTACACTGTACCGCTCGCAGGAGTGCGAGCGGATTGCCTACTCGCTCGACCCGTAAGGCGCCGTGCACAGGGGCGATAGGCAAGCCGGCTATCGACTGTTGCCTATCGCCTAGGCGAGTGAGTGGGGCTAATCAGCAACGTGTTATAAGGGCAACTTTCTTCACCTAACCATGGATTTGTTTCGGAGTTAACAAGTAGTTAACGTTTTTGGTCAGAACGTCAGAACTCTATGTCTGGCTGAAAGATACCGGGAAGAGCAATGTTTAAAATTTGGCGCGCTTGGGACCGCGCCCCCCTACCACACCAGACACACTGTTCACCCAGCCAGCACGGGCGCAGGAAGGGTTGCCCAACTCCAGGGGGCCGGTGGGAGCGCATGGTGCTCGATGAGTTGCCTAACACCAGGGCGCCTAACTCGGAACCGGGTTGGAGGCAACGGATTAAACAGAAGGGTAAGAGACCTTACTTGTGGCCTTGCGTCATATAGCTTCTGTTTCTACTCTCATATCATCGTCTAGTGTACTCACTACAGCTTCAGTCCAGGACTGAAAGACGACCTTATTAATTAATTTTCAATCGATGGAAACCGTTGTTGACATTCTTATGCACGATGTCGTATCCTATGCATTCCTACCGCTTCAAGCTGGAATACAGGCTAAATTGGTCCTAGATTAGACTCCAACCACTGCAGTCAACGGCTAAACCGCTTGACGCCTACTAGTACAATCGACTCTGAAAAATGAAATCACTACGAACTGTCTCCGTGATCCTCGCACCGTGTGTAGGTGAGGTGAGCGCTTGCGAAGAAGCACTTCCATTTTTTATTGAGAATGATGCCAGGAGAATAATCAGGAGGTTACACATTATTTTACCTGGTCGCCACCTTTTAATCTTTAGAAATGTTTATAGAAATATATTTTTTGCGAAATGAGCATCTTAACTATTGATCACATTATAGAACCTCTTTTCGCGTGGACTCTCCCTGCAATGCCCGGCAAAAAATATAATTAATTGAAAGAAAACTTTCGTGGAAAAAAAGTTGTTTTACTCATATTGCCCCCTTTAAAACATTTTTGCAATCCTCAGAACACGAAGTCAAATCGTACCTGCACCGACTAAGGCTTGTACGAAGGATGCTCTAACAACGACTCGAACCAGTTCACTTGTAAAGTATACATACCGCGCCCGCCCGCGCGCGCCTGTGTGTGTGTGTGTGTGTGTGTGTGTATGTATGTATGTATGTATGTATGTATGTATGTGTGTGTGTGTGTGTGTGTGTGTGTGTGTGTGCTGTTTGCTTTAGAGGGGAGAGACTTGACTGGTCCCCACCGCACCCACCAACAGTCAGCGATGTTCTAAGCAGGGCCCACCTGCCAATATGTCATAAAACGTTCGCATATAAACGGGCGCGTACACAGTCCTCTCTCTCTTTTCTCCCCCCACCTCTTTCCTCTTTCTCTCTCACACACACATACACGCGCACCCGGTTTATCGAGCTCGTCGCATTTTGTTACTTCTGCTCTCGAGAGTGGAACATGCAACACATCTGTATAAAATAATGACTTATGAAGCAGACCCGCCTTCCTCTTCCAAAAGGCTTTGCTGCGCAGCTCTGCACGGTCGCTCGCCGGTACCCGCCGATAGCTAACTAACTGGTTGTGGTTTTCCAGGCTTCTCCGACCCGTTCTTCTACCATCGGCACGACAAAAGTACCAGAGTGCGAAATTTGCCGCGTGCACGTTTCTCCGACTTCCATCCCTGCCTTTTGGGTACGGGTGCGACAGCCGCCAAGGCGTCTTCGCCCGTTCTGCACAGGGTCAAGCCACCACCGTGTACGACAACAGAAAAGTAATGGTTTTCATTCTGTACGGTACGCGGAGTACAAGTATTTATTTACGACATGCCCAGTAATTTGAAAAGATATATACCGAGACCTTTGTGTGATTTTTTTGCAACGAATGTCTCCAATTCAAGTTTGTGATCCAGGATGTTTGGCAGTGTACACAAATGCCCTCGCGCGGACCGGCTGGGCTCGCGGATTGACGTAGAGGGGACCGCTGCGCAAAATTTAAAATTATTATTGCGTTTCGATGATATTATTTTTGTTGAAAGGACGTCGGGGCCGCCGTCGCTCTCGTCCGCGATTATAATCCATAAACATGCTGGAGCGCGGAAACGATGATTTCTGCCAGAAAGTAACATTATTCGTCATAAATCAGCTAAAAGAAAAGAACTTGGCAGCAGGGGCGGGCGTACTTCCACGTTAAATACACGGACAAGGACTAATATTTATGCGCAAAATAAAACTATGCTTTCTCGTCATGGCGTCCGTAAAACTCATCCCCTTGTAAATAAATATTGTGGCCGGCGCGGCGCTGCGTTTGTTGCGCAGCTATGAGTGAATCACGAGCCTCGCGTCTGCCAAGGCGAGAGTCCCGCAAGGAGGATGCGTCTGGAGAGGTCCTGGAGGAGTCCTGGGAGGAGAGGGCGTAAGTAGCCGCGCTGATTTATCGCTGGGCCCCTCTGGCGGCCCTCGGCAAACATTGGCGGTCCGGCTCGGCCTTGGCGCCCTGATCACTGGAAGATGTGTCTCAGCGCCGAGGGCCATGGCGGGTGGGCGAGAGTATTTGGGTGCACTGTTATAAATCCAAGCTTTTTCAAGAACCTGCCTGCCTGCCTGCCTGTGTGTGTGTGTTTTGGAACACCATGGCACCGCGACGGCAACAAGCAGAAGCAGCAGCTGCTCATGGGCGACGGTGAAGAATTGATTGTGGCAGTGACAAAGGCGGGCGCGCTAGGTGTCGTGCCTCCCATGGCGCTGGCCCGTGGCGCTGTGTAGCGCGCCCATGGCGGCCCAGCAGCGCTGATGAATGGCACGAATAACTCTTTGGCCGAAATCAGGCGCGCATTATACCGGAAGGGGCCGTTAAACGCTGGGCACGCCTGAGGCACGCCCCGGCCTGAGACTGCAGCGCCAGCGAGCTTGAAATTTGGGTACACAGTCGGTTAGGTTTGGTTACCTAGCCTGAGCGTCGCATGGCGAGCAAGACATATGATGCTACCATTTGTTACTTTGGGTAGTACTACCTGGAAAACTGTATTTAAAAAAAATCGAATTTGAGTTGCTGTGCGTAGAGTAACTTTGAGAACTTTTTACAGGCAATATGGTGCCAACTACATATTCGACTCATTAACTAAAATTTGAGGTAATTTGGTACCACAATTTCCCTTCAAATTTTCAGAAACAACTTAGCGATTTCCCTCTTTTTCTTACAGTGACCGACATTAACCAAAATCAGTTGAAAAATCAGGCCTACTTTTACCAGTGTCAGTTCAAAGTTGACACATGATTACCTCCTGGACGAGGAACGCCCGAACTCCGATCCATCAACGCGATGCTGAGAGAGACAAGTCTATCCCCCTATGCTACTCGACAAAGCTAGCAGTGAAACGATCGTAATCGTAAATCCTACACCCCATTTTTTGGCCCGGTGAGAAACCAAAAACTTTTTGCACTTATCCTGCTTATTATTTGACCAACACTCGCGACCCAGCGAACTCGTTGACTAGATTGTTCTGTACTGCCCTCT